GAGGTTGTAAAAAAATGCTTTTAAAAGGCTCTGATGATCCCAGCTGAGTTGTCTGATTGTCAGAGGCTTTTTTTTCTACAACCTCTTCGAGATTGCCTGATCATCAGAGTTGCCTGATCGTCAGAGGCTTTTAACAGCATTTTTTCTACAACCTCTTTGGCCAAAGAGATTGTAGAAAAAATGCTTTTAAAAGGCTCTGACGATCCCAGCTGAGTTGCCTGATCGTCAGAGGCTTTTTTTTTTCCTTTTAAAAGCATTTTTTTTCTACAACCTCTTCGGGCAGGGATTTTTGCTACCGATACTCCAAACCACCCACCACCATCACTACCGGATCGGGCGATCCAGTCCGAACTGGGAGCATTTCACCCCTGATATGAAGAATGGTTGCAGGAATTGGGTATGGCTACTCTAGAGAAAAGAGGGACTAGGGGTGACATGATAGCAGTATACTAGTATTTGAGGGGCTACCACAAAGAAGAGGGGTCAACTTATTTTCCAAAGCACCAGAAGGCAAGACTAGAAACAATGGATGGAAATTAATCAAGGAGAGAAGCAACCTGGAATTAAAGAGATACTTCCTAACAGTGAGAACAATTAACCAGTGGAACAGCTTGCCTTCAGAAGTTGTGGGTGCTTCATCATTGGAGGTTTTTAAGAAGAGACTGGACAGCCACTTGTCTGAAATGGTGTAGAGTCTCCTATTTAAACATGGAGTTGGACTAGGTCCCTTCCAGCTCTATTCTGATTGAATAAATTGAATTGATTGAAAACAAACTCCATACAATATATAAAATTACCACATCTTTTTATTTTACATTGATAATGTTCACAAATGTACAGGAATAATACCGGAGAGGTTAAAAATACTGTTAGGTCTAAGTCAATAAACCTCAAATGCATTTTTGTAAAATTATGGGAACCGCTTTTCATCTATTATGGCAACCTCTGGTATGTTTTTTTCCAAATTTATTTACTGCTCTTCTCTGGAATTTACATAAATGGGTAGTGATCTGGTTTCTTTTTTAAAAAAAAATTGGAGGGGGGAAATAATGAAACTGCTTGTGCACAGCATTCTGACTTCAGCACTTTTTCACCCTTTTATATTAAGAACACACACATAATGCCCCGAAATAAGGGCTAATGGGATAATTAAATTAGGTATCATCATCATCATCACCACCACAAACTAAAACTTTCCCCCCATTTTTTTTCCACATTAAATTGCTCTCTAGGGTACTATTTCTAGATTAACTGTTGGTAATGAAAGCTTGTATTCTACAAGCTAAAGAGATATGCACAATTGACAAGATCTTTAATTTACTTCTGTAACTTACTTTAGGCATTTGGAAAATGATTTTTAGAAGTGCTAATGTTCAATAGAACAGAAAACTGGCAGTTCACAGCATCCATATGGCAGCTGCTTCCTTAATACTTTAAACATTCAAGCATTCGTGTCAATTGCCATTAGTATCAGTGTAATCACTTCTCTTTATTTATTGTTTAAAAACATAGAACTATTTTTGAACTACTGAGTAATCCTCTCAAATCATCTTCTACTGCTGCCTGATGTCCTCATTTTTTTCGAGCCTATCATTACCAGAGTTCGTTTCACCATGTACAGAATCAAATTGTCTCAAATACAAAGTTTGAACTCACAGACTGTTCTTTCTTATAGCAAGCATGTGACCAGCTAATCAGTACTGCCTCACTAATGTAAACTGAGTAAAAGGATCGAGTGAGGACAGTGAGAGATATAATGTCATGGCCTTAAATTGAGTAAAAGCCCTTTACATAGACTTAGAATTTCTTATTTTAAAGAAAGATAAAATACATGGCTCCACAGCTAAAATGAAGCATTGGCTAACCTACGGTCACCTTGATATAACAGAACTTCTTGATTTAAGCATAAAGACAATGATATAGTTAACTTAAATCAAACTAATATTAGACTGTTACCAGTTGAACTCAAGACACAAAAGACTGTAAGGCAAATCTTTTTTTAATGACCTGATGATGACCTATGCCAGGACTATGTGGATCATATACCTGCCCTAGTCTTTTTTGATGTCTCTGATACTTTTGACTATGGTGTTTTTCTGCACTGGCTGCAGAGGCTTGGAACTGAAGGCACTTTTTTTTATAGTGGTTCTGTTCTTTGACTAGTTCTAGTCAGCAGTGATCAGAGAGAAGAAATCAGCACTGATACCCAGAAACATGCTGCAATCCTAGACAACACTGGAGATTCTGTCTTCTGATTCCTGGAAACTGTTGTTCTGGATGGGAGGAAAAAGACTTATACCGAATCCTAGTAAGTTGGAGCTACTGTTTGTACATCAGAGTTGCTCTGTGTCCCTTGCATTGTTTCTGGACAGGGTAGGACTGCCCCTGAAAGAGGAGATCTTTGGGGTCTTCCTGGATTCAGGGCTCCTGCTGGAAATTCATTGACATGGATGATTGTCAGCGAGTGTATGTTACACCTATTTTGTGTACTTCTGAGTACAGCTTAAAGTGCTGGTTTTAATCTATAAAGCCCTTGTGGCTTGGCATCAGTTTACTTGCAGGACAGCATTTCTCCAATGGAGCTGGCATGATCACCTCAGTCAAGCAGCTGGTTGTCTCCTAGTTTGGGGAAGCCAGAGGGCTGAAACATAGAGGTACTGCATCTTCATAATGGGGCCAGCTGTATAGAATGGTCTCCTTTGGAAGATTTGAATTACTACAACATTATCTAGTTTCCAGACACAGTTGAAAATATAACTTTTCTAGGGGGTGGGGGTGGGTACAATTTTGGTATTTTTAAGCATACTACCTTTTATTATGTATGTTTACTGTTATTATGCCATTGTTTTGTTAACAATATAGGAGCACAATATTGTATTTGCATCCACGTGATGGAATACAAATTTTGACTGTTAATACACTAGTTCATTATTAGAGATTCAACACAATCCCACAGGAGACTATGAGTAACATGTATTGCCAATTACTAATTTTTTTTATAAGGAACAACTGCTTAAAAAAGAGAGAGAAAATTAAAATACAATTAGATAAAATTAATTTAATTTAGATAATATTAAATTCAAAACATGATTTGCCAACTAGAGACATATGTATGAAAACATGTTTCCTTTTGATAATCATCCAAGTCTTCAACAATTTTCCTTTCTCTGACTTTCATGAAAAGATTATTATAAAAGTAAAAGGGTATTTAACTGGGAATGAGGGTTAAAAAGAACTCAGTTATTTGCACAAACTGAAGTGAGAAAGCAATAGTTAACTGTGTAAAAAAGAAACAATTTATGTGAGGCAAGACTCTGTCATAAAAAGCAAGGGATTAGGCACACTGAGTATGAGAATAGGAATGGTGTGTCTGTGTGTCCATAAGTGTATGTGTATGCATATTTTCTGCCTGAAATTCACTTGGGAGGCCACAAACAGATGCAAATCTTTCCTCAGGAGTACGTGGGCTGAACATAAAACACACATATTTGGAATGTCCTGTTTGTTTCTGTTTGTTAGTTCTTTGTAATTGGATACCGCTGAACAAATTAAGATAGGACCAAAAAAAAAAAAAAAAGGAAGAAAACAGAGTGTGCACATTTGTGAGGCAACTTTACAGATGCAATTCAGATATTAGTCCAATTCTCTCATCTGTTTGAGAAGGTCAAGAAAGATGGAATACACATGCTTATATTAATTAAGGGAAGATTTGCACTTGCCAAAAATGTATAACAGACTAAAAGAAATACTTAATGTTATATCCACAAATGCACAACTTAGAACATTTTGAAAGTCATTATTTCAGTTTTAGAATCAAAGAGCTACTTAACAGCAGCCAGTTTGGTCTAGTCTTTAAGGTACCAGGCTAGAAAGCAAGAGATGGTGAGTGTAAGTCCTGTCTTGGCCAAGAAAGTCAGCTGGGTGACTTTGAGTCAGTCACTCTCACTCAGCCCAATTCACCTCACAGGGTGGTTGGCATGAGAAAAATAAAAAGGAGGAAGGTGTGTTCACCACCTTAAATTATTTGTAAAGGTGGAAAATGAATGAAAGCTTTCCTTTGACTCAAGGCAATCCTGTCTTCCCTTTGCCATCTTTTCTTACTATTTATTCTCTCATATGACACTTCTCTCTCTACCCATCACAATTTAACAATTTAAGGTTAAGTTTATTATAATAGATATACAGTATACTTGGCGATACATTAATTTTCTTTTGAGCACACAGATATGACCAAATGGAATCCATTAAAAGTAAATATGACAAATGGGGAAAACCCTCAAACAAACAAATAAACCCTTATAACACATTTCAGACAATAGATTTATAGCCAGGGTTATCAGCCTATACAGACATCAGAGACTGTGCCTTATAAGGTTATAACATTTTACCCAAGCTATCATGGATGCATAGCCCTATCCTACTTCTTAGTATGAGCAAAGGGATATAGAAAGTAGAGAAAATGAATAATTTATCCATCTGAAAAAAGATGGAGAAGATGAACAGAAAACATTGCCCTTTAAAGTTCAAGAAATCAGTTTACTTTGTTGTTACACAGTAGGGACTAGACAGTCTATTTTGGTGACTGATGACCATACAAAGAAATGCCATTAGCTTACCAACATAATATATCAAGAATGATCTTCCTGTCTCATATAGAATTTTGTTCCATTTCAAATAAAGGACAAAATGGAAATGTAACTAAAGCTGGTAGTCGAGGAATAAAGGTTTTTATCTGTTACTTCTGTGATTACTTCAGGAATAAAAATACTTACAACACTGGCATGCTAAGAAAAAGATGTATTGAGGTAATGTCTGAACATGGCATCAGGATAAGCTGACAGACAGCTGAATGATTTCCAAGACACAAACAGATATATACTGTATACCGGTAGCGATGACAATCTTTTTGCTACTGGCTATACAGAATAGAGCTCTGCTGGACATTCTACTGACAGAAATTCTGGTTCTTCCATTTCAACTGTAATTTCTCCTTCAGTCAGAGCATTAGGCAGTTAAGTGCCTTTACCTTCTTTTAAGGCAGAATTCGCTAATCAAGTATGTTCAGAAGAAACTTTCCCATATAACCCCCTATGGAAGCGTTTACTGTGAACTCACAGCATCTGTTAAAAGATTTGTTGTTGATGATGTTGATAGCACCTCACTTACTGTGCGAATGATTCGGAGGCGCTCACATGCTGCCCACATTGCCAATTTTCTGGTGTCAGGTGAATCCTTTTTTAATTTCCAAGATATTTTAATAATCATTGTGGTATTTAAAAGTTGTATAGCTATTTTATTTTTGTGGTTACTTTGGGGTTACTAAAACGTATATTTACTGATTGCCATTACCATTCCAGCTTGATTTTTATTTTGTTTGGGGTGTGGTGTTAAATTTGAATATTGCTTCTATATAGTTTTGCTTGCTTATAACATGTTTTGACTGATTGTAGAGAACTCAAGCAAAAAGCTATTTATGGCCTATTATTGGGCCTTATGTAAACCTTATGTAAAGAAAATAATTAAATAAAATGAATGGAATAGAAGAGAATCTAAGCAAAATAAAAAAATGTGAGAATACAATTAAATGTATTCTGCTGTTCGGTTTTGCAGGTCAAAATCATTCTTCTTGCAGGTAAGTCCTTGCATGCTTCATTATCTTCTCCAAATGAATGCACCCTTTATATGCAACTGAAGATGTGACATTTGGAGGGCAACAAGTTGAGGGAAGCTGATATATGAATGAAATAACTTGGCATTTTTGCAAGCATCTGATTCTGTTTGATTTATTATCATGAATCAAATCTTTATTACAGTCATAGACCAGCATATTATCATCATGTAAACAAATTGAGCTCTTATGAAAGAATATTAGAATCCTTTGCTTTTTGCTACATATTTCTTTTGCCTTTCTTATCAACCTCATAGATCAGGGCTTGAAATTCCTGACAGGTCTTTATTCTGCACTTTCAATCATGGTGACTAGTTATATTCATGAGATCAGCGCATGAGAAATTTGGGCTACTGACTATCTTTTTCCTTATCCCAGGTTTCTGTATTCTTCCATTTGTTCCTCCATTTCTCATTTTCTTTATTTTTGTATTCTATCCAGTTACAGTGACCTATAACTGTAACTGTGTGGTACTGAATATGCTTTGAAATGTTGTTCTCACCTGCCACATGCAAAATAACCAAATAATGTTTTTAACATCCAGTACGATCTCACAGATTACAGATTAAGTTTTATATACAAATTATTTATATTTATATATATCAGCATCTCCCAATGGGCAGCAGGGAGCTTGCTGGCTGCTGGAGAAAAAAAGCCTAGAAACTAGTGGATTGGAATTTCACTGAACTAGGGCTGCAGAAAAATCTTGGTTTACGTAGAAAGAACCTGGCTAAAGAGAAATACATACATACATACATACATACTTCTTTTTTTGTAGGTCTATATGTGCATTACTGTTCTAGCCAGGGTTTTTCCTACATAAATCAAGATGTTTATATAGCCATAATTAAGTGACATCCCAAATCACTATTTTCTAGGCTTTATCAGACATTTAAGCAACATTATGCTGTTGGTTGTAAGACTTAAGGGAGACTAAAATAGATCTATTTCTGGCTTATTTGCCTTCATCAGTTAGCCACACCCTCATTTTATGACTCCTCCCTGTAACGGTCAAATATTTATTTTGTTTTGTGTGTGTGTGTGTGTGTGTGTGTGTGCGCGCGCGCACACACACACACACACACACACACACACACACTACTCAAGGAACTTTGTTTGTAGTCCAGGAAAATATAATTAGACCAAAAAGAAAATAATGTTTCATCTTTCCTTGTATCAGAACTTATTGTTTTGTAAATTTATATAGCTGCCCATCTCACATACATGACTCTGAGCAAAAGATACATACCACAATCAGCCTGAAAGTACATATAAAATCAAAATTATAATTTTGTAGTTTTGCAAATAGACTTATATAAGTTATTACTCTCAAACATTTTTGCTGGCCCTATATACTAGTGTAATTTGCAGTATATCCATAACCTGAAATGGGACCAGGTAGAATAAAAACAATACAGCACAATGAAATACCTAAGTCTAATATTAAAAATAAGTCATTTTTTTTTTAAAAAAATAGCTTTTAAAAATGTTCTTTGAGTATGCCACTATGTCTTTAGTAAAATGGGAATCCCAGAATATCTTATTCTTATGCAAAACCTATGCACAAGATATAAAACCACAGTCCAATAGAATACTACAAAATAAACTGGCTACAATTGAATAAAGGAGTAGGACAAGATGCATCTTCTCTCCTTAATATGATGAGCATATAAATATGGAAGTTAGAATAGAAGATGAGCATGGTTTTAAAACTGGAGGTATAAACATTAATAACCTGTCCCATGCCTATAACACTGAAACGGCATAGATCAGTGATGGTGAACCTTTTCGGTACCGAGTGCCCAAACTGGAACATGTGTGCATATGTGCACGACGGAATGCTGGAAACTCAAAGACCAGCTGGCCGGCATCCGCATACCTGTTTTTTGGCTGTTTTTAGGCCATTTTTCTGGCTGTTTTCAGGCTGTTTTTCGGGCCGTTTTTCAGAAACCAGAAGAGCAGTTGGCAATAGTGCGTGTGCTCACAGAGCGGGCTCTGGGTGCCACCTCTGGCACGCGTGCCATAGGTTCTCTATCACGGGCATAGATAGTTGAAACTGCAAAACTTTAGTAATGAAACTCAAGGAGAACAGTGAAAAACGAGACTAACATTAAAAATGGTAATAATTGAACTAATGACAACAGATACAGCTGAGTATCTGTTGTCGTAGCAATGAAGATATTAAAAGGGTGGATAGTTTCTGATTTTTAGGATTGACTATCAGCCATTAAAGAACCAGCACTAAAGAAATACAATGCATAATAGCACTTGGTAGGGTAAGAATCAAGACTTTGAAAACAATATTCAGCTGGTCTGACATTTTAATTTATACAAGGATCCAAATCTTCAGACAATGTTTTTTCCCCCATAACACTTAAACTGGACTTAAGAAACAAGATAGAAAGACAATGTTTTTGAACTTCAGAGTTGGAGAAGATTCTTGAGAATACTTTAATCAGTCAAGAAAACAAAACGATCATTGAACAAATCAACCCCAAATTCTCAATGTACAAATAATGAAGCTCAAATAATACTCCAATCATTTTGGATATATTATATGAAGACTTAGCTGTCTGAAGTCTATAACATTAGGAAAGATAGAAAGCAAAAGGAAGAGAAAAACCAGCAGCAGAGTGGATGAACTTGATTACAGAATGAGGGATGTACTGTTGGAAGACTGGAGACACATCATCCTGGAAAGGATCTCTGTAGTCAGCATCAGTCAACACCAATTAGATGGCATTGTGAAAAAACATTTATCATTCATCAATATATGCACAATTAATAACACCAGAGATCATGCACTAGATATCACTTGTGTTTTCTTGAACATCATCCAGATACACTTATAGGATGATATATAAATTACATTGTTTTATTTTAATGTAAACAGGTATTCTGTATGTGTGCATAGTTTTTATTCAATAAATCTATCTTCTGGCCTTTGGTGTTTGTGTAATCTTATTATTCATTTGAGTGGGGTGGGCATTATAGAAATGTGATAAACAAGCAAACAAACAAACAAACAAACAAACAAACAAACACATTTTCCATTACTGCAGAAAATTACACTATCGGTCACCTGTGTGAATAAAGTTATTTTCCAAACACATCAGTTTATTGTACATCCACTAACATGTGTAACCTTTGTAAAGAGGTTCTTCACAGAAACATGCATACATATTTATATGCATTTAAGTATATAGGGATGAACAGACTACACTTAGCAACACTGGGAATCTGCATCTCCAGGTTTTTGAATATGCTCTGGAATGTGCATATTGTAACTCACATTTGTACAAGAGCAGAAGGAAAAAAACAACACATACGGGATTCAATAGGATAGTAGCTTCATTTTCTAGTCCTCATACAAATTATATAGTGTCACCTTGAGTTGTGAAGTTTATTGCTCTCTGAGTGCATTTTATAAGGCTACTGGGTATAATGCAATCTAATTATATTGGTAATAGATGCCATGAAACAAGAGCCTGTGACATAACAGCAGTTGCTAAATTGTTTTAGTTTCTTTCTCTTCATCCAGCATTAACATTTCTGCTGTGCTAGAAATCTGCAAGTTCCTTTATTAAACATTCCTGCAGCTGCTATACTATAGTAAAACATACCAATGAGACATAAGACTGTTTAGTGCAGTACAAAAAATAGTCTTTTAGAAATTACTCACGAATTCCTTCCATCTTGTCTCAATCCAAGCCTTGCCAAAATAATTTTAAATTAATTTGTGTTCTGTTTAAACCAGGGAATAGCTGGATTCTTGATTTCTATGAAAAAGGACATTCCCATTTACAGATTTCTAACTAAAGATTTTTTATCTTATGGAATCTCCTACCTATATTGCAGAATCACGAATCACTAATTTAGGGAGACAACCCATCCTATATAAGTACTGCATAAGGATATTCAGAGACTGTGAGTTCTAGTTTTCCATTAAGTATGAAAGTCAGCTGGGTGATTTTGAGCCATTCTCTTGCAGCCCAACTCACCTCCCAGGAGTGTTATTGTGGGAGGAAAATTGGAAGGGAGCATTAGGTGTACTATTTTGAGATGTACAACATAAAGGAGAGATATAAATCTAATCTAATCCAATGGGATGAATGGGATCTGTTTTTCAAACAGATATAGAAAAAATAGTAAACTTAGTAAAATAGTAAACTTAATTAATTCTCTGTGTGTCTATTCAAGGATGGTTCTTTCTTCGGGGTCATTTACCTTCACTCATATACCCATCCATGCAACTCCTTATAGAAACACACTGATTACTCTCTTAATTCACATATAATTTGGAGCCTACAAGAAGCACCTTGCAAACAGATCAGAAATGAGAAAACAAATTATTTTGGCCAGCAAGAAAACTCAGAAAGAAAACATGCACTGTAGCTACAGCAGTGATTCAATTCTGAATGACATCCACAAGAGTTTAGGCCTTTTCTAGAAGCACCGTGAGCTGATAACTGAATACTTGAAAAGGAAAAGCAGCAAATGATATTAAGGGAGTTAACTATTAAGGAATAGTTGAACTTCTTTTAATTTCACAGAATCATTTTAATTTTAAATGTAGTGGTTAAGGAGCTGATGTAGAAACCAGAAGTCTGTGACTTCTAATCCTTCCTTAGGCACAAAAACCAGCTGGTTGACTTTGGGCCAGTCACTCTCTCTCAGTCCAATCCACCTCACAGGGTTGTTGTTGTGGGAAAAACAAAAGGAGGAAGAAGCACTATTATGTTTGCTGCTTTAACTTACTTATAAAGTAATAAAGGTGGGATAAAAATCGAATAAATAAATAAAATAAAATTTACTTGGAACATCTTGAGCAGAGAAAAACTATTCAAATAAAATATTTAGTGAAAAAAATTCAAGAACTTAACACTTCTGCTTCAGTATACTGGTGAATGTTGCAATGGTGATTTAAAAAAATAAATGTGTTTCTTCATTCATTTTTTTAAAGA